GTGATGAACCCTGTCACGATGTGTATCCTCACAGAATAGATTACTGGCCTGAAGAGGAGTTTCATATGCTGTGCTGCTTTCCCAATACTGTAGGTGAGTATAAAGGGATAAAAATACAAATTCTGTCATTATTTTCTCACCCTCATGTCATAACAAGTTTCATGTTCACCACTGCATTTATTTGATCAAAAATACATTAAAACAGTAATATTATGGAATATTATTACAATTTAAATTAACTTTTCTATTTTAGTACAGTATATGTAATTTATTTCTATGATTGCAAAGCCGAATTTTTAGCAGCCATTATTCCAGTCTTCAGTGGACATGGCATTCTGATACAGTTCAACATCTTTTTTTCGAATGATTATAAATGCCTTTACTGTGACTTTAGATAATGTAATGCATCTTTACTGAATAAAACTATTCATTTCTTTCAGAAAAAAAAAATCTTATTAACCTCAAACCCAAATTGTAGTGTATGAGTTGACCTTTTTTGGCCCCTTGGTCACTATTCACTTTTGTTAAATGGAAAAAGTGCAGCTTGAACATTCTGCCTAACATTTCCTTTTTGAGTCCTACAGAAGTTAGAAAATCATACAGGTTTGGAACAGTTTGAGAATGAGCAAATAATGAAAGAAAATACAAAGTCAAAAATTATAGTGAACTATTCCTTTCATCATGCCATATAACAGTTAAAAAGTATAAAGCTAAAGTTAATTTGCACATGGACACAAGTATTGACTTTCTGCAGCGAGAAGGCTCATTTTTCTCATGTATACAGTCAGCCAAGGTCACTTTCTTGGATCACAATAGATTATTTTTCAAATTCCACAGATTTAAGTTGGGTGTTATATCAGCGGCACCAAAGTTGAAGCATTTCGTCAGAGCTGGTTGGTTCTTCAAGGTTGTTTTGTCAGCCCGTGCGTGCTCTCTCTGCCCCTTGCTCTTCACACTCTCCTTCAGTGTGAGGGCTGTATGCTTCAATATTGGCCCCTCACATCCACAACAAGGTTTAGAGTGTCTTGCTCAAGGATGTGTTAAGATTTGAGTGCTGTGTTGGAAGAAACAGAAGGTCCCTGGAGCTGTGCACACTGAACCACATGAAAAAAGCAGATACGTAAGATGAAATCGCACCCAAATGTGGTGTTGAAGGATGCTCCATGTCAAGTGTTCCTCGCTAGTGTAAAAAAAACTTAACGTTAGGTTTTTCTTGTTTTGTTTGGGGAAGGTTAAGAGTCATTTTTTGGCATGCAGAAATGATCTGTGATTCTCTTCAGTGGGGTTTAATTGAGTTTTGGGTTTAGCAGTTTTACATAGATATGATCAAATGCTGCTGAAAGCCGTCTGTGATGATACCACTTATGAATGTATTGATTTTTTTTCTCTCTCTTTTTAAAGAGGAGAGACTTTGAAATAAGCTGTTGTTGTATGATGCATTGCAGGAGTAAGGTGCTTTGGGGAAAAAACGGTCTATCTTTTCTTATATGTGCCCGCACCAATGCTTTTCCCCTCTACAAGATCTGCAGGCATGGAATTAGAAATCTCACAGAAGCAATAAACAGTAATTGGATTTGGCGATGGAAATCTCGTTACCAGGAGAGAGAGAGACCCTGATGGGAACACTGGCAACTTCTCAGGGCTATTGCTGCCACCCTCCCCTCCTCTCTCTCGCCCCACTGATTTAACCAATCATCTTGTATTTGAATCCAGTGAGACCCGCGGTGACGAGGCTGACTGCCAGGGGAGTCTGTGTACGGCTGTCATTCAGCGAAGCTCTGAGACAGTAGTCATGAGGTCAAGAGCAACAGCCACCACATAACAGTGTCCTTCCATCGTTGTGTATCTACAGCCTGCCAGATAGTTGTCACGTGGATGGACACAAGTATTGACATTCTGCAGCGAGAAGGATCATTTTTCAAATTCCACAGATTTAAGTTGGATATTATATCAGTGGCACCAAAGTTGAAGTATTTCGTCAGAGCTGGTTGGTTCTTAAAGGTTGTTTTGTCAGCCCATGTGTGCTCTCTCCACCCTGTGTTCTTCACACTCTCCCTCAGTGTGAGGGCTGTATGCTTCGGTATTGGCCCCTCACATCCACAACAAGGTTTAGAGTGTCTTGCTCAAGGATGTGTTAAGATTTGAGTGCTGTGTTGGAAGAAACAGAAGGTCCCTGGAGCTGTGCACACTGAACCACATGAAAAAAGCAGATGCATTTCAGTTCTTTAATGACCCAATATGGTGTTGAAGGATGCTCCATGTCAAGTGTTTAGCTCTAGTGTAAAAAAAAAACTTGACATTGGGTTTTTCTTGTTTTGTTTGGAGGTTAAGAGTCAGTTTTTTTGGCATGCAAAAATTATCTTCTGTGATTCCCTTCAGCGGGGTTTAATTGAGTTTTTGGTTTAGCAGCTTTACATAGATAAGATCAAATACTGCTGAAAGCCATCTGTGATAATACCACTTATGAATGTATTGATTTTTTTTCTCTCTCTTTTTAAAGAGGAGAGACTTTGAAATAAGCTGTTGTTGTATGATGCATTGCAGGAGTAAGGTGCTTTGGGGAAAAAACGGTCTATCTTTTCTTATATGTGCCCGCACCAATGCTTTTCCCCTCTACAAGATCTGCAGGCATGGAATTAGAAATCTCACAGAAGCAATAAACAGTAATTGGATTTGGCGATGGAAATCTCGTTACCAGGAGAGAGAGAGACCCTGATGGGAACACTGGCAACTTCTCAGGGCTATTGCTGCCACCCTCCCCTCCTCTCTCTCGCCCCACTGATTTAACCAATCATCTTGTATTTGAATCCAGTGAGACCCGCGGTGACGAGGCTGACTGCCAGGGGAGTCTGTGTACGGCTGTCATTCAGCGAAGCTCTGAGACAGTAGTCATGAGGTCAAGAGCAACAGCCACCACATAACAGTGTCCTTCCATCGTTGTGTATCTACAGCCTGCCAGATAGTTGTCACGTGGCAAAAGTTCAAGTTTGCAAATGGTCACAATTATTCTGACCAACTGCGCATACGATGGCCAAAGGATCTCAACAATCCATGAGAATAATAACTGGCCCATTGTAATGAAAATGTTAGTAATGACCCGTCTGTTATTGCTTGGACAAACAGCCATTGTAAAACAGATTGCAAATTCATTATAATGTATCATATTGGCTTTAATGCATTAAAGCCAATATGATATAAAAGAAGTGTTTAAATACTTTTTTTAATGTTAAAGGTCCTGTTGTGCATGATTTATTGATGCACGTTGTTAAAAATAAATTGATCAATAAAATGTGGATAACATATACATTTTCTTCAAGGGAGTATATTTTCCTTTAAATATTTTTTACGATTTTTTTTTCTTTTGAATATTTACTTTCTTGCTGTGCAAAAGTTTTGGGGCAATACTATTTTATGTTTCTGAAAGAAGTCTCTTTTGCTCACTAAGGCTGCATTTATTTGATACAGTAAATACAGCAATATTGTGAAATAGTATTGCAATTTTAAATCATTTTTTAAATAATTGAAATGTAGTTTATTCCTGTAATGGCAAAGCTAAATTTTCAGCAGCCATTACTCGACTCTTCAATGTCACATGATCCTTCAGAAATCAACATAATATGCTGATTTGGTTATCAAGAAACATTTCTTATTATTATCAATACTCAAAACAGTTGTGCTGCTTAATATATATTTATATTTTTGTGATGCAGTTTTGCCGGGTTCTTTAATAAAGTTCAAAAGAACAGAATTTGAAATTACAAATACATTGTAACAAAATTTAAAACGAAAGTTTAGTCAATTGAATGCATCCTCGCTCAAAAAAAAGTATTTATTTCCTTCCAAAAAAAAATGGTAGTGTATGTAAGATTGTGGAAGAAAAATGTGTTTTAAACATCTTTTTATGTTGACTTGACGCTCACAATTTGTGTACTTTCCTCCGAAGCAACTTTTGTGTTTACCCTCGCTGGAAATGAAAACTTTTAATCCTAAATATTTGTAATGAAAGATGTATGAGGGCTTTGAGTTGCTGAGTTGACATGAGACTAGACATATGAAAGCCCAGGGTTTTCGCAAACACTTTCACAACTTTCAGATTCTCTGTTAGTGATTAGAACACTCATTTTGGTTTGTTTACTGCCCGGCAGTTCACTTCAGGAGATCCGGGAAGATTTCATAGGTGCTGGATTTTAATTAGATATGTCCTCTCATGTACCACCACAATAATGACAAGAGGCATCAGCTGAAATCCATTTATGCTTTCCTTCAAGCCCGAGCTGAAGGAATGAATTGACTTCTTCTAATATTGCACTAATTCAGCTTGCTGTAAAAAGTTAATTGAGAGGGTCAGGGAGCTAAAATGCCTTGTCAAAATCAATTAGCCAGCTCACATATCTCACTAAAAATTCAATAATGTTTATTTTTGCCCATTCAGGAACTTTTTGTGATTGTCACCTCATGCGCTTTCTTTCCTCAGTGAAAAGCATCATTGTTTGAAAATGTCACCTCTACTGTGTGTAGGTGTTTGTTTAGAGAATTTGTTCTGATTTGCATCAGACAAGTGGGACCATTTCGGGAAGCGCCTGTGCATTTTGATTAAAGCCATTGGCCGGTGCCATTGTAATCAGAAAAGTTCAATTTGAAGTAAAGAAGACCGTGTTCTTAACTTAAAAATATACCGAGAGAGAAAAGTACTAAGAGAGGAATAGACTTTATATCATAACTCTGTGAGACATTAAAATGGCCACAGAAATAGATGTGATCAGCTCTTTTCAATATTATGCTCAGTATGTGTTGTATTATAATATTAATATGTTGAAATTATGTTTTTAATTAATAGTACAGACTGAGACATCCTATCATGATGTATGCTTTTTGTTCCCGAGAGACTCTTGTGTTATTAAAAGGACCTTTTGGGGGATCATTACTTATGTGTGTGCTGGCTTGATGCTTAATCATAAGGTGTTGAAATAAAGAACATGTAATTATGCTCTTTTCCTCAGACGGGGCATCAGAGATGGTGGGAGCAGGAAATCCCGATAGAAGACAACATCCAGAAAGGAGAACTACTTACCTACAACCTTACTGAACTCATTAAACCCGAGGCCTACCAGGTCCGCCTCACACCCATAACACGATTCGGGGAGGGCGATTCAACGGAAAGGATCATTCGCTACTGTGGTAAGAAAAAACTTCTTTGGTTATGATGATGTTTGCTTTTAGTGTTCTCAGTATTTTGTTACAAAAAAAGAGAAAGAGAAAGTGAGTATCCAAGTATAGTGGGGTCAAAAATAGGGTTTCACAATGTATCTGTACCATATTAGCTATCAGCATTAGAATTTTTTTTTTTCATTTATTCATCGATATTCAATGTTTGTGCATGTTTTCCCCCTATTTTTATATTTTAATTAGACTTTCTTTGCTGTAATCTAACAGTACATTTTTTAAAACACTTATGAACACAGGAAATCCTTAATAACAGTTAATCTTTCAAATCTCTTTAGCAAATTTCAAAATCCCCTTTTTTCATGCTGTGCATTAAGATATTAATGACTATTTTGTAAAAATTTAAAGCAGTTTATTTTAGTTTTTAATTTAATTTATTTTAATTTTATTTTACAAAATTATACAGAATCTTAATTAAACCATTTGTTTGTTACAGTATCAGCCATAAATTGAAATGCTTGCATCCCTCTAATAATAAAGTCCTTATTAAAACTCTGAAATTCATCTATTTTTTTAGTACACTATTCTCTCAAATTATTATGCATTCAGTTTAGTTTTATTAATCATGGTTATTATTATACAGTAAGAAAAAATGTTAGATTTTGACCAAAGCTCTCAGACTTTTGGACCCCACTGAATGTTTCATGCAAATATATAACTCCTTGTGAAAAACATAATAATAATAAACTAAGAATCATGTTAGTGTACTAATACTGACAGAGATGAATGTCTGTGTACTGACTGTTTTAAAGTCAAGGTCATTTATTAAAAACACTTCAAGATTAGATTATTTGACAGCTCCAGATATTGTGCAAATGCCTCATCTTTTTATTGAGAAAGAACACTTCATTGATTCGACTCTTTTAAATATTTGTGTACAAATCTGATAATCTAGCAAATAACCAGCAGGGGACATTTTAATTATTTTTTTTATGTAATAGAGACCTCTGCTGGCTGTGTACATGAAAAATGCACATAATGCTCATCTGTTGACATGCATTTTAATAGCAACTGTTAGTAGATTGATCATATTGTTTTGCTTTGTGCTTCTTAAAGAGGCCAGTCGAGAAACAGGTAACGTACATCCAGTCCTAAACCCTACGTCTGTGGTGCCTGAACCCCTTCCCTTCTTTACTGGAAAAGCAATCGTAAAGTGGCAGCTTTATGACTTCACCAATGGCTGGATGCACTCAGCACATTCATTAACTGTGCACAGTGTTCTGTCATCGAGGTTGCACAACCCCAGTGTGATATTAGAGGCTCTTTGAAGGCTCTGTCTTAATTTTAAGCCTTTGCTTATGGGTAGTAGACATGAAATATTGTGGAAAAGGTGTGACGTGCTAGTCTCCATCCAAAACTATTTTAAACAGCACTTGGTTGTCGAGCGAATGCCCTTCACCCTCTGTATGGCTTATAAAAATAGGGATTTGCAAGAAAAGACCACAGAAGACCTGTGCAGACCAGATGCAATTTCAAAAGCAGTTTTTGACCAGATGCAATTTCTTCCATCCGGTCATTATTTCATTTATTCTGCTCATAGTTTATTCAGCAGCTTACCCATGTGATATGAAGCCCTATGGCTCTACACGGTCTTTGTGTCAGGTAATGGAAATACCAGTGCTAAAAAATTGAAAATGTCTCATTTCATAACATCTCCCTCTCTGCTATTCCGTTTCCCCTGAAGTCATTTTGCCACAGGGCTCATGGGAAAAGACCATCTGTATTGATGGGATGACTTTCACACCAGGAGCACTTCCATCAAAGAGTCCAGCTTTTGCCACTGTGACATTATGCATTTTAATTGGCTCAAATAGCCTGGAGAAGGTGATAGCACAATCACACCAGTCACAATCCATATCCCAGCTTTCACAATAATACACTGGCATTTAAGCCTTGTGTAAATGGTTGGAGAAGCTCTCTGTGAGGATGCCTTCTGTTGGTTTGCTAAAACTGCACATTTACATTTGCATTTGGCAGATGGTTTAATCCAAAGTGTCTTACATTGCATTCGAGATATACATTGTCTTTCAGTTCATGTGCAACAGCACTGAATGTTTAATGATAAAATGTTTTAAAAAATGAAAAGTCTGTCAAAACTTACCCTCATGTCATTGCAAACCTGTATGACCTTTGTTCTAAGCAAGTCAAATTATATTAAGTCATATTTATTTATTATTCATTTTTAAATAATGTATAATAAATAATAAAGAATTAATTTTGTCTATTGGTATTCCCATCCATTGTATAAATTGCATTTATTTTTTAACTATATATTTTAAAATGAATTTAAAAAAGTATTTAAATTAAAACGGGATTTATCTGTGTGCGTGAATGTATGTATATATATATATATATATATATATATTTGGAAGTATGTCAGTGTTTTTTCAGTCAATAGCATCCAGTGTTGTTGACTTTTATTGTATGGACAAAAAAGGTTCAAAATATCATAAGAATCATATAGATTTGGAATGACAAATTATTTTTGGTCCATATATGTGTTTATTTTACTTTTTTAGTGAATGTAGAAAATGTATTCACTAGAATGAGCTAGAATCAGCCATTTCCATGACATTTCAGTGAGTCGGGTTGTTTTTTTCCTCCTGTACTTGGTGATTTTTATTCTAAAGGCAAGCCATTGCAGCCTGTGGCAAAGGTTGCATAGTGTTTGTTAAGACTTTGAATGGCTGCGGTTCAAATTCGTTCACAGACAGTGCCAGACAAATTAACAAGCCACCAAGAAGAACTGATGGACTGTGTCATTTGGTATCATTCTATAAAGCAGTTATTCAACACATAAACTTGCTGCTGCCTGTAGATTGCTTTGGAAAGCCACCAACTGGCAGCTATTTATGAGCCTTTCAGAGAACACAAACAGGCTGAGAGGACAGTGCTAACAAGCTATTATAATTGTATTGTCAAATAGTTAGTACTGTACACCTCACCACGACTTCACTATAGAATTAGGTTGTCATAAATGGCATTATTTGTTTGTTTAGTTGTTTACTGCTGATAATATTAATAATAATGACCGACTGCAGGTCATTTAAATGCTAATTTAAGTCAATGCGAACATTATAGCAAAATGGTTGAATATGAAGTATGCTGATGAGGAGGCATGTATGATTCTACTCATTCATTTTTATAGGCCTTTGATTATGTGTGGGATTACTTGGACTCAGTGATAACATATTGTTTCTAAGATGCCTTCGGGTTTTGTATGACTATCGCAAAACCCAGTCTCTATGATAAGACAACATGGCTTGTACAGTATCTAGCCTGAATTGCATTACTCGGCTCTGCACATTTATGTTTTTATCTGGCTTGTTCAAATGAAAGGCTTGAATATGGTTGGATTTTACCTTAAAGCTTGCCTCTGAGTAGGACAGCAGTGAATCCTCTCCGAGTGGGAGATATACTGGGTCTAATTGCTTGTGTGTTTAATGATGTTGACGTTTTGCTTTTGCCTCCTGCTCCAATAGCTCTAATTGTACGTTTACTGGGATACAGGGAGAGAGAAAGGCAAAAAGAGAACATGGAGCCCATCAATTTAGACTAGAGAGTGTGTTAATGCGGCACGTGTTTCCAAATATGCAACATCTGTTTGGTTTAACCAAAGCAGGCCTCTCCTCCTTACCCCATTTAGAAACAGCTGGATGGTTTACAAGAAGGGAACTGTAACCTTCATGGAATAATTAGCTTCTAAATTACGATTTCGCAATGGGAAAAAAACAGCTAGTCTGGAATAGTTAACATTAAATGTGATCACATGTGAGTGAGACATATTGATTGTGCCATATTTTATTTTTATTTAACAGTCATCTGCTGTTAAATGTTTTGCGACCTTAAACATATTAATTCAACCTAAATTCAATTTTTATTCTATTAATAAGAATCCTGTTAAATCTTGTTCATTTTTAGGCATATTATCCAGCATTGTAATAATTCTTTTTTTACTCTATAATTATTGTACTTTAATAAGTGTTTTTATAAGCATTTTAGCATGTTTATTGCTGTATAGCCAGCCACGTTTATTTATTTTTTTTAAATGTATTATTTTCCATGATAAAGTGTATATTGGCTTTCCCATTCACATTAGATCAGTTACTTTTATAAGTAAAAATCACAATAATTTAATTAAAAACAAGATAATTCATCTGTGTCCGTGAATGTGTGCTGTCATACTACAATTTGATTAATTTAATTTGAGGTTATATTTTTTTAAATATTCATTTATTTTAAATAAATGTATTTATTTTTTATTTCATTTATTTATTTTTACTAGTAGCTTAATTCATATTATTGACTCTTGAATGGTAATGAGCCAAGGAAATAACCTTGATAACAGGGAGAGCAGCAGCCATTTTGGTTTGAAATGTTCCACCCTGTTTCATCCCTCTTTCTCTTCATGTCCAAACAAATGATTTTTTATAAATTGAGCTTGAGATGCTTCAAAAATCACCTCCAAAACAGAAAAGGCATCTGTTTCAAGGAATGACTCACTAACATTTTGTCTTCCTTGACAAAATCCTCTGTTCCCATTAAGGCTGCAATTCCCATGACACTTCCCATCATTCACTCATTCATTCATTTGTAAATTCTGTGTATGTAGACAGACATTTGCTAATTAATCTCCCCTTCTTTCCCCCTCCTGTCAACTTTTTACTTTTTCATTTGTATCATCAGTTTCATGTGGAGCTGTTCCCCCTGCAGTTCACAAAGCAGACATTTACACTGACAACCCCTTGTGAACATCTGCTGTGTTTGAACGCTGTCGTGCTAATCTTTCTCATTATAGGAGCCTGATCAAATGCCAGAACCGATGCCACTTTTCCGTCCCAGAAGGCGACTGTCGCACTGTACTCGTTTTACTGCTGGAACGTCAATTTGAGAGACACATATTGATGTATTTCTTGAAATTCTTCTGCCGAAGTTAGAGATATTATGATTTCAAACATCTTCTGAGAGGATGACCATTGATTTTGTTTCCTACATAGACATTCACAGCTTAGCGTAATCACTGCTCTTGGAGGATCCAAACACGTTTTCTGACTTAAACAGGATTGCGCAGTTTTTTTGTATTCTATTAAGGCACTGAGCTGAGTTGGTTGAAATAGGGATCGGTTTCAGTCTCACTATCTTTTCCACACATGCCCTCTGAAACCTTTCTTCCACAATGCACCTTAGCCCTCATTGAGGCTGCCTGGAAGCACACGGCTTTCTGCCGCGCTCAGATAGGCTGCTTGTGAATGGAATGAAGAGAGATACAGGTCTTTATGGTTCACCTGAGCATTGCACAGCCCTATAGCGACCTCTCCCCACACAAACACCCCCTCCTGCACTGACACGCTATTTCATTTCCCCTCTCTAACTGTGATACATGGTAATGATGCCCATAGCACTTTCTAAACACTTCTCTCCAAGGGCAAGCACCATTCTCCCCTCTCCGAGTCCCCTGCTGTTGTTTATAATGGTTTATTAATCAACTATGTACCAAAAGCCTTTTACAGCTCTTCTCTTTTCTGTTTTACAGCACCGGTGAATCCTCCTTGGAGTGAGTATTTTTACATACTGTATATATATATTTTATTCATTTATTTATTTATTTATTTTTTATTCTTTTTTTTTTGGATTGGCAAAAAAGAGCAGTAAGCAATTAAAGAAATATAGCTTTTGACTTTTGGTGTTAAGCATCAGTAAATGTTCAACATGATTTCAGAATCCATTAACATTTATATGTATGATTTTAGCATACATACACTAACGTTCAAAAGTTGTTTTAGTTTTTTGAAAGAATTATGTTCACCAAGGCTGTGTTTATTAGATCAAATTTGTAAATAAACAGAAATATTTGTACAATTTTGAAAATATTTTGTATTTTAATATATTTTAAAATGTAATTTATTTCTTGTGATGGCATGAAGGCAGATGGTTCTTTCAGAAATCATTTTAATATTATGATTTGGTGTGATATTTCTTATTATTATCATTATCATGTTGAAAGCGGTTGTGCTGCTTAATATTTCTTTGGAAACCGTGATACGGCATTTTTTTTTTTTTTTTTTTTTTAAGTAAATATTTTGTAACATTATAAATGTCTTTATTGTTGTTTTTATCTAATTAATGCATCCTTGCTGAATAAAGGAATTATTCATTTTGATTAAAAAAAAGTATGGCCCTAAACTATTGATCAGTAGTGTTATGTATGAATAACTTTTACAAATTATAGATATTTGAAAGCAAATACAAATGCTTTCAACTCCTATCCTATCATTGTGTTTTATAATAAGCAAAAAAATTTCATTTCAGTCCATTTCATCTGTGGATTTTAATGGTCAGACATATTGTACACACGCACAATAAATGATTGAAACTAATTTATGTATAGCTTTGTTATATGCTCTTTCTGCACACTCTTCATTGTACTGTTTCTCTGCTGAACCATTCATAGGTAAGTTTCACTGCGGCTTTGATGAGGACACCATGTGTATGTTCATCCAAGACAAAACCGAAGAGTTTGATTGGACAAGACATAGTGCTGCCACCAGGGACACTAAATATACACCCAACACTGGGCCCAGCAGCGACCGCACCGGCTCTAAACAAGGTATACGGCACATATGCCACTCAATATTAAATCAAATCTGTAAGTTAAATTTAACACTAGAACCGCCAGGGGTCGCTGTACACCTAAAACCGCCAGTGGGTGAATTTTACCCACGCACATGACAACTGTTTTTATATGGCTAAAGAACATATTATTTCACTGTATTATGCCACTTTCTTCACAAAGAAGTGTCTAGAGTCATGAAATGATTATGTAGCCTATTTTCAAAAATAGGGGAGTGTTCCTTTAAATTGCTAAAATAGCCTATAGACATTAATGAGCAATAATAATTCAACACACTGCATAGGATGTATGATGCGATGACAAATTCAAGCGCACAGCTTCACCTAATTAATTATTAATTTGTTTAGTTATATCATT